TCTCGATGAGAGATACAATATCAAGTGTGGGGTATAACACATGATATTAATAGAAAGTGGAGTACACATTTTAACCTCACTAATTTTTTTTTTTTGGGGCTGACCCGTGGTCTTCATCTTCATCTTCCTCCTATATTTTCTTTTCATTTATTTTTCTTTACGTATCTTTGTTACACAATAACCCATTTCATTTTATATCCGAGACTAGACCGCTTATTTATATGGGACACAGATTGGGTCCACTTATATGGGCTTGTTCTGTGTAAGATGCTTTGGGCTGAAGGCCTTGTTTTCCCTGGCTTGTCAATATATAATACTATAAAATTCAACCCAGTTTTACTTTAACATTAACCATTAAATGCATTTACAATTAAATAATTTAAGTGCACACGTTTATAAATGGTTATCTTTACTCGATTTACTTTTATGTCCGATTTCATCAAGTTAGAGTGAGAATTAGGGAGATAGATAATTAATAAGGTGATAGATCTTGATGAGAGATACAATATAAAGTGTTGCCGAGTTTTGGTCTTGGAGCAGTTTCAAATTCGGGCATGGTCTAGGGATTAGGGACAGAGCCAATTAAGGCTCAGAGGGGGGACATGCCCCGCCCTTGCTCCAACTTACTATAAATAGGTATATATTTGCTCTATATATACATATACTTATATGGTAATTTTAAATAATGCTCCCCCCTAAAATTTTCAAATTCTTATAATTTCCTTTTGAAAAAAAAGAGGTTACATATATCCCCTTCTTTTACAAACATTTTCTTTTTTAACTTATGTGTAATTATGTAATATAAAATTCACTTTACTACATCTACGTTTTTAGGGAAGAAATATAATGGGGAGAGGAAGAAAGCAGTTGAAGGACTAGCCTTGGGGAAAGTAAGCCGTAATTATGACTTTCCATTTATGACTTCCAGGTCTGAACTACATTAAAGAGGAAGTATGAGTGGAAGGAAGGGGACAAGAAGTAATAAGAAAAGAAAAGAGAGGGGTGGCTGCTTGTAGAACAATGAATTGCAATGAATTACTTTAACCAAAGAGTGGAGGTCACCTATCAGTTACTGTCAGGCCCAACCTACCAATTTAATGTAAAATTAAAGCAATGCATATATAAATGAAGATCGATGAGGAATATCATAGCATGTTAAAGTATCTTACAACCAGCATGTAAGATAATGGATCGACTTCCAGATATGTTGCTGGCAAATATAGCAGGGCATGTGCTCCAATCTTCATACCAAGATCTTCATAGACTTTTACAATGGTATGCGTTTATATACTCAGACATTTACATTGGTACTTCAATTATGTAAAATTATAATTACGTAGTAAAGGTTTATGAACTACAATTTCACAGCTCCAAGATTATGAATAAAGTAGGTTTGGATGAGGAAGTCCTTTGGTGGTATACTTTTAAGCCGCTGAATAAAATGTACGCCCATCCAAATAGCATTGCCTTATTTCTCGAGTGTCTTCAAAGTGAAAATACTGAGGCCATATTTATCCAAGAAGTGGTGAGCAAATCAAACTTACACCTAATATTTGTTTTGAGGATGGGTTTGATTGGATATTAATGTTTGAAAAGTTTGGATTTATTAACAAAAGCAAAACAGTTAATGCTAGGTGTGGTACTTTGTCGGGGTCATATTGATTCGTTATTTGCTTACGGTATGGGAATGCTTTTGGGCGTTGGAGAACGAAGGGCAAAAGGTATAAAAATCTTAACATTAATGAAAATAAGCCCCTTAAAAAAATTCATGTGGAATAATCGTTTAAAAATGAAGTGGATATTCTCCCATTCATCCGTGACTAGAGAAAAATCACTACTTCTGTATTATATCCCAATGTGTAATGATTGGGCACCACATCATACTAGAGACGAGTGCTTGATTTACAGGTGCAATTGTTGTCATCAGTTAAGTACTGGATGTTAGACCAAGGTCCGAGCGACTTATCATTTTATTACAAAATAGTTGAGTAGAATACGTTTTCTCATTTGGTTTTTAGACTTTGATGGTTATTTTATGTGTACCTGAGTAGACGGCTTATAAAAAAGAAATGGGATGCCGAATCGGGATGGATACATATTAAAGTATTATAATTTTTAGCATGATTAAGTTTTATATTCAAATATGTATGATATATAGATGATTTTTAGCATAATTTTTAGCATGATTAAGTTTTATATTCAGATATGTATGATATATAGGTGATGTTTAACACAAGTGGTGGATGTTTATGCCTGTTTCTAAGATTTATATTCCGATGTGTATAATATTATAGTAGTGTCCCAGATATGATAATCTCGGTTGACTTTTAAAAGTTAAGATGTCTACATATTGAACATATTTCGGCGGAACTTCAATTTTATAGTAGTATCTCAGATATGATAATCATGGTTGACTTTTAAAAGTTAAGATGTCTACATATTGAACATATTTCAGTGGAACTTAAATTTTATAGTAGTATCTCAGACTTGTTCCTAAGATTTATATTCTGATATGTATGATATTGAAGATATTTGAGGTAAGTGGTGTATGTTATATACATACGTAGCTATCGTAACATGTATTAGTAGTGGAGACTTCCATGTTACACATTATCGTAACGTTATGTTATATCCACCAACATAGCATTATGAGATTTCCATGTTACACATTTATGTTCTACCGAATTTTTGAAAATAACAGCTACCTAAATCTGAAGTAGGCTCCTGCAAGACGTCGTTTTGCTTTTTGAGAAGTCCCGACTCTGTCCCGTTTTCGCTTACGCTTTCCACTATCTTTTTCACAACTCCCGACTCTATCCCGTTTCCGATTACGCTTTCCCCTCTCTTTTTCAAAGCTCCCGACTCTTTCATCAGCATATTCTTCATCAAAACAATCATCTTCTGGAGAAGAAGCCATAAGGTCGGAATGACAGTAGCTATCATCCTCTATATCAATATCAGAAGGAGTCGCAAATTGGACCTGTGTACCTTTACTTCTACTACGAGTCAACATTTGAGTGGTCGTGGAGAGGCCGAATAGGAAAAAGAGGGACAAAGCTTCCCGATGGCGAAGAAAAGGGATCAAACCCTAGAATTTTCAATTAGAAACGAGGAGAAAGGAATTTTGGGAAAATTTGGGCCAAGCGAAAGTGGTTACAGTGGTTGAAAAGTGGGGAAGATGAACAGTTTCAGAGTTAGGGATTTGGGGAAGGCTTCAGCGCTGAAGGTGAATGAATGCTGTGGGTCTTTGGCTACATTGGCTGAAAGTAGGGATTTTATGAAGGTTTGACCGGGTTTGAAAACATTTGACCAGTTTTGAAAACGGTTTCAAAATAATTTGGCTTCAAAATTTTCAGTAATTTGGTTTAACCGTGCGTGGGTGAAATAGAACCAAGCCCTAAACCAGAGTTAAGTAGGAGGTGATGTGGCAGAAGCTAGGCCATGCAACTTTTGGACTGCATGGACCGGAGGAATAGTGGACTGCACCGAATCCAGCTCCCATAAGCTCCTGCACCACTTATTAATTATCTGAATATAATATATTACTCGTATATGTGTTTATATATATATATATATATATATATATATATATATATATCATATCATATCATATTTTAACCCAAGTGGACAAAGTGTTTTCAGTTGGATCCAATTGGATCTGACTCAGGTGCATAGTTAAGATTCTGACTTGGTAGTTGGTCACCAAGGAGCAAATGATTAAATAACCTTATAGTAATTAATTATATGGTTTGTAGATGATTTGTTTTAACATAAAAAATAAAAAAGGAAAAAAATGAGAACTCTAGAAGAATGAGATCAAGGGCCGTGTGGCCGAGTGATATATCCTCTACCTTCGAAAATGAATGGTGATAGTTTTGAATCTCTAAATGAGCAAAGTAGGTGTGTAAGTTCCTTGCAATTGAAAAATAAATAAATAAATAAATTCACAACAAGGAGTGTCTCTATGCGGGAGTTTAGAAGTTCAAAATTTCCTTCTAACTACTTTTAGGTTTTTTTTTTTCTTTTTCTTTTTTCGGGTAATTTTTGTGATGCAGGTAAAATGTTAGATTAAAAGCTATCTTATGTATCATATATATATATATATATATTTTCAAGGTAAAAATGTTAGAAGTTAATGGTTGGTTGTTAGAGGGAAGGGAAGGGGATGGTGCAAGGCTCGAACACAGACTCTCAAACATGGAGAGTAATTCAATCACTCGGACAACATGTCACTTGTCCTTATGTATTGTTATTCTTAAAACCTTAAATTAAATTTGTTTCAATTTCAAATTTAAATTATCCATTGCATATTTAAACTGTCCATTGTCCTTATATATAATTACTCTAAAAACTTTAAATTAAATTTGTTACAATTCCATATTTATACTATCCATTCCATGCTTCCACGGAAGATGAAATATTAATATGTATTTTATTTATTTATTTATTTTTTTTCCTGACAAATTTAGAAAGAAGAACTTAAACACAGGCACACCCCAAACGAAAGTTTACCGATTAAGCTGCTGCATAATGTCCACCAGCATAGGTGTACTTGATTGATCTAAGATTTGATAGTATTTCACTGTGATACGTCCATTACGAGTCTAACAACACTCGGGTACAAAAATAAAAATTTATAGACTTGAAGCTGACAATGACATGGTTTGGTGGTCCTTATTTTGTGAGTGATAATATCTAGTAATTATTAAATCGATAGGTGATAGCATAGCATTGAATGAGGGCCACCAAAGCATGTTAACAAGGGATAAAAAGGCGATGAAATGACAGCAAGGGTTAGGCAAAAGAGGAAGAAAAGCAGAGCACACAGGTAGTTGTCTTAAATGATAGGGGTCTCAATTATTAATAACACTAACGTACGCCCTCTGAGCACCTTACGTTAAACATCACCCCTTAATTTCAAATGACAGTTGAGGAGCTGACTTGTTAGTTGGCCAACTAGAAACCATTTTTATTTATTGGCGGGAAGCTGACAGCCTACCTTCTCACAAGCTCTCCATGACCACAAAACTACCTTTCATTCTCTCTATTGTTTTTCTCTCTCTCTCTCTCTCTCTCTCTCTCTCTCTCTCCTGATTGTGTATGTGGAGCTAATTAGACACAATATTCTACAATGGAAGAAGTGGAACTTCAGTCCAATGACAACTTGGATAAGAATGATTGTCCAAAAATGAACACGCAGTCGAATTCGGATTCAAATTCAAACTCGAATGGAAGAAGAAAGGAAATGGTTTCGTTTTCTGGGCTATTTTCTGCTGCTGATAAATTGGACTATGTCTTGATGTTGTTTGGAAGCATTGGGGCGTGCGTCCATGGCGCTGCACTTCCGGTATTCTTTGTATTGTTTGGTCGCATGATTAATTCTTTAGGACATTTATCCGCGAATCCTCAAAGATTGTCTTATGAGGTTTCCAAGGTACGTACAATACAATTTCTTTCCTTCTCGATCTATTTTAATTCTAAACGTTAATTATTAGCTTAGAGTGAACTTAAACTCTCAAAAAATTATAACACTTCTGATATCCCATTGAATAGATAAGCTGTTGACTTGATGGGTTAGAAAATGATATCTTCCTTATTGCTGTGGTTTTAGGACACTCAGATTTGTTGTCACAATATGTATTGCCTATAGTATTGCCTACGATCATTTTTCTTCTGATATCACTGTGTCTACAGTATTGCCTACGATCATTTTTCTTTTGATAAAAAGAATAATAATAATAATAATAAATAATGACTGAAAATGTCATTTATATCTCGTATATAGCAGAAAATCAAGAAATTCATATATACTGGAAAAAGATCAAGAAATCATTGGCTAAAATCAAAATCATGGATACCAATACTTTTTAGCTGTCAATTACAGTAGACACATTAATCTAGAAAACTTATGTTGGCAAAAAGGACTAGTAAGGCATAAGCATCATAGACATTCTAGGTGATATACATTTACCTTGACATTGTTTATGTCCCATGTAACAATAAATCCACATTATATGCTGGTGTATATATTCAATTTATTTATTTTCTTTTTTGTATGTTATATTCACATATATATTATACGAATATATAAGAACATGCTCTTTTCCACTTCTTCCTCATGCTGGTTTTCTGATTGGTTTTATGACTTTGAGATAAATCCTTAGCATCCATTAGAAGAATTCACTACTTATATTTACCTCAAACAGGGATTTCTCATCGAATTTTACTACTACAGAATTATCATTTGCCTTGGTTGAGCTTGAGACATATGTGCATCAGCACATCGTTGTGACAGGGTCAAGCAAAACCTTAGTATTGGAAATATTTCAGGAATTAGCAGCCTCCATTACCTATTCATTTACTTTATTGGCCAAAAGGACCACTCCATATGTTGTGTAGACTCTGAAAAGGTACCCCCTGGAGGTTTTGTTAAAATAGTTTTTGGTAAATTAGCATAATTTGCTCCTTGTCCATGGCCATACGTGCTCACAAATATTTTCTCATTATAATATGATCTTAAGTTTGGAGTGATGCATCCAAGTTGAATAAGGATAGTAAATTTAAGCACTTTCTTGCAAAGTTGTTTCATTTATTTTCACCAAAGCTCTACACCTTGTTGGGAAACGTGCTAGTTTTAAAAACTTTTTGAGAGATTTTGATTCATAGTTCTTGATTCATCATATAGAGACAAATTTTATGCAAAAATAAAATATGATGTATTATTCAATTAATAGATTGAATACTTACATCAAATGTTTGAGTAAATCTTAGATCTCTCTTGTAAAGTGAATGTTCTCACTTATTGTAGATCCCTTTGTTAGATGCCATCTCTATGAATCTCCATCTTCTTGGTAAAACTTTTGCCTTTAGGAATCACCCATAAGTCTCCATGAATGACCTTAGAAAACTAGGCTTGTGGGAGCCTCCATTAGATGAGAACACTAACCCTAATTTTCTAGAGAGAGAAAATATATTACTTTTTTTCCTTCTTCAAAAATCACACCTAAAATATACATAGATCATGTATATATATAGGTAACATAAAGATAAAGAAAATGAAATAATAAATCCTTCTCAATCTCTAATTCACATGTCTCAAATCTAATAGGATTCCAATATCAAGTTAGGATATGAGTGAGAATCCTTTGGGCTTATTATTTATTGGCTACAATAAATTAATAATTGGCCCGGTCCATGGACCCAATTTAATTAATTCATAAATTAATTTCTACTCCACTAAAAGAAATTAATTGAACTCCAATTAAATAATAAATAACCTTTAAGTCAATGTTGCACTTTGACCCCTCTATGCACAATTAGTTATCGGATAAATAAAGCCATCAATCCGACTTCTTAATTAATATATTTCTTTTGGTACCTTTGAATATTTCTGGCTCGATCACAATAAAACATTTGTTTGACAAAAATAATAATTTAAATAAATAAATATATAATAAATCATTTTGTCTAAAAACACATGAAGGCCTTCGAATTTACTTTGTGATCAAACATAATCAATACAAAATAGATACGAGTAGCAATGATGCAAATATTAAAAATATAACCCTCTAACTATTAATTACATAATTACCCAAAGTGTCAGTCTAAGGATTCCGAAGATTCCGCCGAACAAATCAAAGTAATTATTAATTAATAAAAAGAGTCTATACTTTTCTCATGCTTAAGAGTCAAATGTCATGACAGTGATAGGGAACAATTGCATACGACGACTCTCGCAATATATCTCAACCTAACGCGGATCTAGTTCAAGTCTTAGTTAATAATGAGTCCATCCATAATTACCGACTATGAACAATTTATGATTACTATTTATATTAATGCATTGATCGCCATCACATACATATATAAATATCTTTTGTAATCAAGTGGACACTATCAATTCCATAATGAATCGGAACATAATATATTGAATTCACCAATTGTATAAAGCATAAATATTTCAAATATATCAGGAACATATGTCACTATAATCCAAATAGGAATTTGCTATGTCAGGGCATATAAATCCCAACAGCTCCCACTTGCCCTCATAGCCAATTCGAATTGCATCTAGCTCCAATGTTATCCAAGTGACGATCAAACTATTGATCATAACACCTTTGTTAATGGATCAACAAAGTTGTGTTCCAACACAATGTTATAGCCATAAGTACATTTTCTTGCTGGACAATATCATGTAGGACATAATACTTTCCTCTCAGTGTACCTTGTTCCTCTATGGAACCTTGGGTCATAGGTTTGGACTACTTCTGCATTATTGTCACAATATAGCTCGGTAAGCATGGTAGTATTCTCTACAACCTCTAAATCAGTGAGATCAAACCAAAAGGCTTCATTTGCTGCCTTTTAGGCTGCAATGTACTCCACATTCAGGTTTGAGTCAGCAGTTAAAATCTGCTCAACAATCTACCAATTGATTTTCCTTCTATTGAGTGAATATACACTAAGTCATGAACCTCATAGTATCTACTTCTGATTGGAAAACAGAACTATCATACTTGACTCGAACCACATCATCACATCCATAAATGAGTATGAGATCATTGGTTCTCTTAAGGTACTTTATGATATTTTTCACAACAAACCAGTTATCAAGTCCAGGATTGGGTTGATATCTTCTGACTATCCCTACAATATAGCGGATGTCCTATTTGGTATAGACCATGGCATATATGAGACTCCCATATACCAAAGCATATAGTTCCAATCTCATTTGCTCAATCTCCTCTGCTAGTCTTGGCAAACTACTTACTAGAAAGAGCAATCCATATCAATCAAGCAAGAACTCATTCTTTGAGTTATGCATACCAAACCTGGTCAAAACTTTATCAATGTAGGATTATTAAGATAAGCCTATTTTTCCTTTTAACCTGATCTTGCCAAAGCTTGATCCTAGGAATATAGCTTACATCTTAAAAATCCACCATTTCAAAATAATTGAACAACTACCTCTTTAATGATGACTAAGCTTCCACGTTATTATAAATTAGTAGAATGTCATCACTATATAGAATTAGGAAAAATAATGGCATTCCCTTATACACTCATGATTTAATTATTAAGAAATCTTCTGGTATCCTTTTGTAGATTAACTTGCCTTCTATAGGTATCACCCTACTAGAAAGTTCTACAAGATCTCAAATTTTATTAGAATACATAGATTCCAACTCTGATTTCATAGCAACTCGCCAAAACGATCTATATCCATATCGGTTCACGCTTCCGTGTAGCTTACTAGGTCCAACTCATGTTTGACAAGGATGTCCATAAAGGTCTCACCTAAAAACATGATTATGTTAGTTTGAATGATAATCCTCCCACTACAACAATGTATCGATCCAGGAATCTGTGTAGTAGATGATGCTGACGCATTTATAAGGAATTTATATACTATTCTTAATTTCTATAATAAGTGTGTTCACCTGTGGTACATCTGGTACTCATACCATATTCTCTAATATTATGCTACTAGGTATGTGATTTATAATATGATCCTACTATAGATAAACAGTGAGTGTAACAATCAACTTTTACCATTGAGATCATAAAATAATCCATCCTAGTGCCTTTAGAGTAGCTATCAAATCTATCATGCATATAATTTGTTTCCAACTTACTTGTCCATATCAAGCACACATGTGTAAGACTACCCTATATGTGCATGTGATTCAAACTAAGATTTAGTCAAAAACACAGCTCAACAGTATCCTTGAGACAGACTAAGATGGAATATAGTTCATAATACGGATCGATATCATTAATGCTAAACTCTTAAATGAAAGAGATAATGTGGCATAACTGATCATAGATCTAACCATGTTAAGTAGAATTCTATTATTCATATTTGACACCGAAATCCATTTAGTGTCAATTGCGGAAAACTAGTACACAACACCCTCATTGACCATATAGTCTTTGCATTATCCCAAGAAATACTCATATCCACGATCAGATCAAAGTATTTGAAAAGTTTACCTAATCTGTGCTTCACATCAGTCTTGACACTTTTGGAATATACCAAAAATTTAAGACTTGTGTCGCATCAGATAAATTTATCCAAAACATGAGTAATCTTACTTGGATATTCATAAGACCACACGTGTCTGTGTGTACCGACTCCAATTGTCATTTATGTCTATTTCATTTGGCTAATTTAAAGCCCTTAGGGATATCTATCTTTCAAAACAAGATTCACAAGTGGGTTTAGGCTCCTCTGCCTCACTAGTTTATAAACCTTCTTTGACCAATCTTTGAATCTTATTTTGACTGATTATAACCCAAAAATAGACACTAAAAATACAATGAGTCATGAACAACAAATCTTTTCTTAAGATTTAATCCAGAAAATGCAACATTAGTTTCTACATCACGCAAATATTAAGAGTTTGTGACTATAGTATATCAACAATCTTT